GAAAGAATCTGGGGCCTCTGCTACCTGTCTTCCCAAGCTGGCATTTCTGTTGTGGCTGCACAGGAGAGCTGCCTCCCAGGACCCCTCTGGGAGCAGCCCGTCCTGGGCTCAGCTTCAGTGGTGGACCTGGGCCAGGGCCTTGACTGGTGCTGTACACACCATTGTTCCGGGGACGGGGAGGAGCAGGGGTCAGCGTTCTGAAGACACTCCCCAGGGGACAGCCATGCTCAGCCAGGGTTAGAAATCCAGGGTGAGGCCCAGACTCTGACCTGCCTGCCAGGTGCATCCTGGCTGGGCCCCAAGACACCTGGAAGGCAGGTCACACGACAAAGGACGGCCCAGGCCCAAGAAGCCAAGGAGAGAGTGACACAGGGAGCGGGTGAAGGGGTGGGACTTTCCTGCCAGAGAGGAGCTGCACGCTGCCTCGATCTGTAAACTGAACTACTGCCACTGAGTCTCAGGGAACCTGGGGGCACACCGAGAGCTGAGGCTTTCAGGGTCACTTAAGCTGCATGTCACCTCAAAGCCCCTCCACAGGCTCCTGGACAACCCTGGGGCCATTGCAGAGGACGGGGCGTTTCCCAAGGACCCGGTCCAGCAACAAGGCCCAACGCATGATGCCTGACACGGCTGCTCGGGCCGCCTCCCTGCCTGGAACAGACTCTGGATGAAAAGAGAACCCTGAGCGTCCAGGAGGAGGCAACGGCCGAGCCCGGGTCGCCAAACTCCAGGCTCTGCACGGCCCTGTTTTGGGGCAATCCACCAACTCATGTGAACTGATCTGATCCTCGCAAAGACCCGATGAGGTCATGGCTATTCGTATTGTCCCCATTTTATAGATGAGGAAACTGAGGCACAAGAGGTTAAGTAGCTCCCCCGAGGTCACTCAGGTTCCAGAGCCCACGTGCTTATCCTTGCTGCTCTCCCACCTCCACTGTCACAGCAACAACCTCTGTTTATCCAGCCCGTGGAGACTTTTCACACTGGCAAACAGGGAAGGGACTATGTCCCCAGCTTACTGAGGAGCAAACTGTGCTAGGTGAAAAGCCATCCCAGCGTCCCTTAGTAAGTGAGTGGGAGGACCAGGCCTGGGTCGCTGTACAGGGCCCCTGCCCTTGGCCTTGCCTGTCTGCCCTCTGCTCAGGCGCCATGAACACTGATCCCTCCTTTTCTAGCACACAGCAGAGGCCATTACACATGCCAGGACCACAGTCCCCTGCTGCTGGGGAGAAGACAAACTGTCGGTGTTGTTTTTTAAAAGAAGAAACCTCTCTAAAACTCACCAGGAGCAAACTCTGACATCACCTCTCAGGCAAGTTCTGGAAGGGTTGTGAGTGTTTTGAAAACCGGGGCTCTGTAGGGCCGTGGTTTGTGAGTGGCCATGGGTAGCTATTTTCCTGTAGGAAAACAATATCAAGAAACCCCAAATGTCAGTGTCTGGACATTGAGAATTTGGACCACGTCTGCTTCCAGAGGAACTACCTGCAGAGACGGCAGACTGCGCCCATTTATCTCGGGGTGATGGGATGAGGCCATCATCAGAATCAGAACTGCACCTCTCAGGGCCGGGGGCTTGGCTGAGATGGGGTGCCAGGCTCCTGCGGGGGCAGAGACCAGCTCCCCGGCAGCCGAGCCTTTATCAGGCATCTGGAATTCCATGCACCAGCCACACATCTGCAGGAGAGGAGCTGCGCCTCTGAATCACTAACTTCCCATCTACAGGGCCAGCGGGGAGCCCCTGCAGTCTTGGCCTCCACTGAAGGAGGGCCACCTCTACAGTGAGGACCCTGAGGAGGCCATGGGTGAGCATCTGAGGGCACCATTATCCCTGCATCTGTGGCGGGCCCTTCTCCCTGCAGCCAGGGCAAGCGCTGCCCAAGAAGGGGTGCTAGGGGGCTAGGGGGAGGTTAGCAAAACCTCTGCTATTTCTACAAATGTCAAGTGTGCTTCTGTTAGTCACCCTCACACCTTTCAGCAGATAATTTTCTGAGCACCAAGAAGGCGCAAGGCCCAGGGCGGAGCCCTCAGCGGGGAACGCTGGCAGTGGGGCCATGTCCCCAACCTCCAGGAAGCATGACAGGGCAGAAGGGCAGAGAGCCATGCCCAGCTGACACTGGCACGAGGAAGCTGCTGCCTGCTTTACTCGAGGCCAGGAGCTGCGGGCGGCAGGGGGGCCCGCTGCCCAGGTCTTGGGGCAGCTGTGCAGGGGCCTCATGGTGACAAGGCATTCATTCCCCATCACAGGCCCAGGCGTAGCCTAATCCTCCGGCTCTGTCCTCAGGTTTTCCCGGGTGCAGGAAGCGAGTCTGGGTGAGGGACGGGGCCCGCCCGCCCTCAGCACTAGGTGGCAGAGCTGCGAGCCGGCCCGATGCTCCGATGCTCCGATGCCCTCCGCCTCTGCTGTAGCCAGAGCCACACGGGGACATGGAGGTGGCGTCTGCCATGAAGCGCCGTTCCTCTGCTGTAGCCAGAGCCACACGGGGACATGGAGGTGGCGTCTGCCATGAAGCGTCGTTCCTTTGTTGGATGGTGTTGGGCTGGGTTGGTGCCAAGTACTCCATTGGGCAACCCTGCCCACACCACGCACCCCAGCCCGGAAGCTGGGCCTTCCACATGGGACACTGGCCATTATGTAAACACTGCCTAAATACCCTACAGCCACCTCTGTGGGCGACCGCGAGCATGGTATGTCCCCTGCCGTGTAGCCCAGCCCCGTGCTGAATGACGCGGGCCAGGTGAGAAACATCACAGCCCATCTCTGCGCAGGGAGCTGACTTTGTACCCGGGCGGTCGGGACCAGAGGGCAAAGCAGATGAACGCGACCAAGCAGTGGACGGACCTCTCTGCTCTCATTCCCACCGTTCTCTTAC